AGGCCACCTGCAGGCGACACTTTCCTGAGTGTCAGCGCCAGCTCTCAGACAGTAGGCGGCTATTTCTGGACACAGCTAGATTGCTCAATGCAATACTTTGTTGTTTTGAAAGGAACCTAAAAAGGGTGCCTGAGGTGAAAGTGTGGTTTTTTGGAGTAACTCAACTTCTGCATTCCCCGATTTTTGTTTTTCTCAGTTTATTGCCTGGCACATCACTGAAGTGTTCTGGGGTCTGAGCAAGAGGAGGGACAGGGCTTTCATCACGTACAGGAATGACTCGGCTCTGCCGCCAGCTGCCTGGGCTCTTCGAGGATAGGAGAGCAGTAAACAAGAGTTCTGGGCACTCGAAAGGCTAAAGGGCTACAGAACAAGTTATTTGTGATGGGAAAGTGAGCCAATGAAGCTTCCCTGATCAGGCACATGCAAGGCATAGCTTGGAAAAGTAGGATAATCAAACACAAATAAATCTGAATTTTAAAAAATTTTTTTAAAAATTTGAGACAGTGTCTTGCTAAGTCACTAAGCTAAGGCCGGGCTTGAATTTGTGACACTTGTCCTCCATGTTCTTTTCAGTGACTACCTCATGGCATGTTTCAGGTTTTGCATGTGTAAAATGCAGCATATGAGTTCTCATACCTAATCTTTATTGCACACCCACCTCAGCCAAGTTCTGACATATATTATTTCATTCAAACCTAAGAGGTAGAAAATGTCATCCAATTTCTAGAGCACCAAGGCTCTCAGAAAGTTAGAACAGCCAGATATGTTGGTGCACACCTGTAATCCTAGCACTGGGGAGGCTGAGGCACAGGACTGCCATGAGAGTGAGGCCAGCCTCAGCTTCATAGCAAGACTCCACATCAAAAAGCCAAATTAAAAAAAAAAAAAAAAAAGCTAGCACATGCCTGTAATCCCAGCAGCAGGGAGGCTAAAGCAGGAAGATTGCTGTGAGTTCTAGGCCAGCCTGGGCTACAAAGTGAGTTCAAGGCCAATCTGAACTGCATGGTGAAACCCTGTCTGAAAAACATAAAAGTAAAACAAAGAAAGATAAAAAATGTAAACAAATGACAGCCTATTTTATAGATTACACTGCATAAAGAATGCTCATATATGTCACATTTGGTTTTTTTTTCTCTTCAAAAAAAAAGTTACAAGAACTGTGGGAGTAATAAAACCCAAAAAGTGTAATTGTTATTGTAAAAAAGAGAGGAAAAGAAAGTGATCTAAAAGATATAACCGCATGTATATTTAAGTGTGTAGGATAGAAAATCGTATTACTGAGTTTTTATTGGATCTTTGAACAGAACTGTCTGCAGTCTCACTGTATGAATGTCCACTTTGTATGCTTTAATTTTGTAATTTGGACAACTGTTTCTAAGATGACAATATGTAATCTATTAACTGGTGATTTCTTACTGTATTTTTTTCTTGAAATTCTGTATTACTTGTACCCTTTTACTGCTTTTTTTCTCTTTAAATAAAAAATTTTTAAAAATGCTCATATAAAATATTATCTTTGTTGCTATGTTTAGAAAATGATATATTTTGAAAATGAGAATTGTAACCACCAAATTATCTGCTCCCATGATTTGGGGCTTTCTGATTAATAAGAAAATGTGAGTGAGTAAAGGTTCTCACGTTTCTGCCTGAGTGAGGTGTAAAACTGCAGAGCCCAATTTAATCCTCCAGAGCTGTCTCAGTAACTCTTTAGCACAGCTCTCCATTCTGCTGGGACTGACATTCTCACCATTCCAAAGCATGAGGTCACTACTGGCCCAGACAACCTCCAAACTCTCCCAGCCCCAAAACCCTATGAGTAGGTGACTTCATATTCTGTTAGGAAGTGGGTGTGTGTGCATGGGTGTAAGTTGAGAGGTCTTTCAATGCCATGCGATGTTCCCAGGACTTTCTTTCTCTTTATGGGCAGGCATGTTCCAAAGACCAAACTCCGTATTCCATTTTTGTGTGCTAAGGTAATAACGTAAGGAATGGCAGAAATCCAGGGCTTGGGAGACATCATTCTGAAGGGGATAAGGCCTAGTTCCTAGAGAAAGCAGAGCATCCTAGAAACAATGTTATTTGTAGAACTGCCTTTTCCAGCTAGGGATACCTTAACACTCATCAAGCCCTGAAGTACAATTCAGGTTATTTTCCATTAAAAGCACTTCCTTGGGGCTGCGAATTTAGCTCAGTGGCATCAGCACCTGCCTTGTGAGCAGGCAGTCATGAGTTTGATCCCTGGTACTGGTAAAAAAAAAAAAAAATTAAAAATAAAAGCACTTCCTTTTGGGGATGACAGTGCACAACGTAAGTAGCATTGTTGCCCCTTAATTGATGTGTTTTGAAATTTTATTTAGCTTTTTTTCTTCTTTTTCTCTCCTTGAAATAAAATGGATTTGAAAAATAAAAATAATAAGTAAAAGCACTTCCTGGGCTGGGGATGTATCTAGAGGTAGAACACTGGGCTGGCTGGTTCAACACCTAACGTGGGGGCTCGGGGAAAGAGAAGGGAGAGGAAAGGAGAGGACGGGAGGGGAAGGGAGGGGAAGGGAAGGGAGAACAGAAAGAGGAAGAGAAGAGAAAGAATTTCCTTGTATTTGTTCAAGCTCATCCATTACACTGGTGGGGTGAATCTCACAGAATTTTATGCGGGCATCCTGACTTTTGATCATACATTTTTACCTGAATTTAATCATGCTCTCCCACAATGCTGTACAGTACAAATTTACAATTGGTTAAATGCACAGAAGAAAGCAAAAGGGAGAAGAAAAGAACTGCAGGACCTGAAGCTAGGAAAAAACTAGAACCTTCCTCAAACTGATTGGTCAAGTTGAAAAAACACAAAATCATTATCAACTACTTTATAAAAAAAAAAAAAAAAAAAAAAAAACGTGAGAAGCTTGAGGTAAAAGGAAGCTCAATTTGTTAACAGGAAGCTGTGGGCTCTGCGTGTCTATTCATAAAAACATTTGCTTTTTCCGTCGCGGGTTCTGCCCAGTAGTTGTCTCACTGCTTGATGCTTCTGGTGCTGCTTGACTGGTTTTGTTAAAAAAAAAAAAAAAAAAAAAAAAAGGCAAGAAAGAGAAAACACTGTGGCTCCCGTTTGTCTCTCCCACAGAGAACCTGACCTGACACTTTCCCTGCTGCTTGATAGTGAAAATGCTCAGCCACCAAGAACGCTGAATGGCAGCAAGCATCAAGTTTTTAACCAAACCCTCCTTGGAGCTGACAAAACCTAAGGACATCCGCCTCCTCCTGCTGTGCTCCCGGCTCCTCCCTTCCATCCTAAGTTTCCCATCTCTCAGGACCCTCCCCCCACACTTCCCAAATGCACTTGGAGTTAGGAACCGGAGAGCCCCGTCTTCCTGCCCTGGATGCTGCCTGTCGTCGTCCACCGTCCTCTCTCTTGAGTTCTCCGCAGGAGAGGGACCAAAGGAGGAGGAACCTCGGAGTGCGCGGTCACCTCGCTTTCTGACCAGATGTGCAGTATTTGGTTAAACATTTCACTTTTGCCTCAAACACTCTGAAGCTGTGAGGAGCTTGCGGTCAGCAGCCACTAGCCCACTGCTTGATGTCACCGGAGTAGGAGCCAGAGGTGAGAAACCAGCTGGTGTTTGCACCATCCACACTGAGTCAGAATGAAACTAAGGGAAAGTGTGAGCTCTGGTGAGCACAGCTCCGCACACTTGAACTTCCAGCTTGCTCGTTCCAGGAGAACGGAGAGTTTTCTTGAGTCACAGGGATGAAACGTGGGTAAAGTCAGGCTCACAGTGGAGTCAGTTCAGTTTGAGAGGAGAAAGTTAAGTGCCAGCCTTCTCCGTAGGCAGATGGGGCTGTTGCCTGCACAGGAGGTCAGTAAAGCGTTCAATCCCTTGTGGATATGTTTACCAGACCCTTTCGTTCCAACACTGAAGATCTGTTGTTTAATGGAACATAATTAATTTCCCTTAATATACAAATTCCAGGCCTGAGGAGGTACCTCAGGGGAGAGTGCTTGCTTAACTAGAGTGAGGCCCTGGGTCCAATTAGCAACACCACCAACAACAACAACAAAAAAGTGTGGAGAACATCAGAAAATGAGAAATGGCAGAACACAGGAATTCAGACAAGCGAAAGAAAAGTAACTGTACTTCATGAAACTCCACCTAGCAAGACTGGCAGATTTGAAAGGGTCAGAAAAGAAGAGGCCCATATCTGGAGGAGGGGAAATAAATTGGAGCTGTTGGAGGGGCAGCAATAGAGTTGTGAAGGGTGGAACAGGAGAGAGCAGAACAAAGACACTGAGATAAAAGTGGGTTAAAAGAACATAAATTGGGCTGACAGCATAGGTCAGAGACACAGCGCTGGCCTAACAAGTGCAAGGTCCCAAATTCCATTCCTGGTATTAAAAAAAAAGAGCATGAATGCAAGTCTTTTTTGTTTTTTTGTTTTGTCTTTTTCCTTTTTATCGGTACCGGGAATCGAACTCACGACTGTCCGCTTGCAAGGCAGGTGCTTATGCCGCTGAGCTAAATCCCCAACCCCGCAGGTCTTTTTTGTTAACATAGAAAAAAGAAAGCAATAACCAGACCAAAAGTCAGTGTATTCTGAAAAGGAAATTAGATAAAAATTCATTTTAAAATGTTTAATTTGTGATATGTATTGTGGTTGAAGAGCTGCCTGCTGCCTGTCTTCTTCAACAGGCAGTCGGAAGGTCAAGTTCAGGAGAACTTTGTTTTTTCTTTTTTGTGTTTTCCCAGCTTCCAAGCACAAATGACTTTTTAAATGTTTCCTAAAATAAACATTGGCATTGAGTTTTTAGTTGTTGATTATTACATTAAGTATACAGGGGCCAGGGATATAGCTCAGTAGCAGAAGCACCTGCCTGGCAAGCACAAGATCATGAGTTTAATCCTTGGTACCAAAAAAAAAAGATATATATATATACAGATGTATGGCATATGGTGTACTAATTAAATACATGTCCATATCATGCTATGACCATATCGGGGCAGTTAATATTTCCATCACATTAAACACTTTATTAAACACTTTGTTTACATTTTTATTAACATGTAATCATTGTATATATTTATGAAGTACGTGTACAGATTTCAATACATGTATACAATAGGCACTGTTCAATTCAGGTAAATTAATGTTTCCATCTCCTTATTACTTCAAATTTGGAGCATTTTGAACACTCTTAAGATAATTCTTAGAAGATCTGTGCCCATGGTGTCTCTCAGTAGAAGCTATAATATCCATTTAATATATTTGTGTATGAATATATTTAATTCTAGATACTACGTGGAGCAGAGAGTTTTTCTCTTTTATCAGTCGTGCAAATCTCATTAAACTGAATTATTTCTTCCCTTTTTTTGCCATACTGGGTTTCAAAACCAGGGCATTGCTCATGCTAGACAAGTGCTCTATCTCTGAGCTATTGCTCCAGGCTGTAAATTGTTCAACAGCAAGTATCCAGTCATTGCCAGGTGTCCTGCCACATACCTACAATTCCTACTACTTGGCAGGCTGAGGCAGGAGGACTGAAAGTTAGAGGCCAGCCTGGGTAATTTAATGACATCCTATCTCAAAAAATAAAATTAAATTAAAAAGGGCTGAGGATGCAAATCCTTGGTAAGGTCCTTGCCTTCATTCAATTGCCAGTACCATAAAAGAAAAAAAGAGGGGGCTGGAAATTTAGCTCAACGGCCTAAGTACCTGCCTTGCAAGCAGGTGGTTGTGAGTTCGATCCCTGGTACCGATAAAAATGAAAAACACACACAAAAAAAAAAAAAAAAAAAAAAAAAAAAAGAAAGAAAGAAAGAAACAAAGAATCTGAGCCTCATTTCACTAGTTTTTTCAGCTACAGAGAGGAATCCAACCCCCACTGTCACATGTAACCTTTGTCTCCTAGTTCCCATGTGAATTCCACTGGCTTTTACGGAAAGTTTTTATTATTCAGAAGGAAGAGTTCATGGTAAATGCTTGTCATTTATTAAAATGGGATTTTGGTGGCAGGGAAAGTAGCTCAGCAGCAGAGTGTGTAGCATGCAGGAGGCCCTGGGTTCAACCCCAGGACTGCACTGGCTGCGTTGCTGGACTGCTGTCCATACCTAGGGCAAAGCAAGCATGCAGGCTTGCTGTGAATGTGGTTGGTGACAGCATATGTAGGCTCCAGTGCATCCAAACCCAGAGATTCATAGAATGAAACCCTTAAAACAAAATATGAGGAAATTAAACCAAGGCTCATCAGAAAAATACAGCTCTACCTGAGGCTTCATGGTTACTGAGAGAGCCAAGGTAAGTGACTTTTTTCCTCTTTCATTTTAAACATTAGATAAGTTTTCTGCTTGCATATTGAAGTTTGGATCCATCCTCCCTTCTTAGGACCCAGTCAGAATATTCTAGAAGGCACTGGCACAGGAAGCTGTACCTGTGCACGGGGGAAGTGGTGATGGGGAACAAGCACAGTTTGAAGGAAGTCAGAAACATGGGTGCAGTCTCAAAAGAAGTTTAACTTGCTTGGTGGAGGAGGCCACCCGCAGCACGTGAATACTAATAATACATGATAATAATAATAATGATAGTAATGAATAATACATGAATCAGAAAACCAGGCTTCACTCCCTATCCCACTTCTTGATGGGACAAAGGCATGACAAACTGGAATTAAGAGTGCAAGTTCTATAACCAGCATTGGCCTCTCTCTTTAGCCCAGCCTCGAAGTGTGGCAGAGTGCGATCCTTCATTTATTTATTTATTTATTGTCTTTTTCCTTTTTATCAGTACTGGGGATCGAACTCACGACTGCCTGCTTGCAAGACAGGCGCTTTTGCCGCTGAGCTAAATCCCCAGCCCCACAGAGCGCCATCCTAAGTCTTCATGTATTTATGTAAGATTATAAAATCCTTGGCTGTGTTGGACAGTCTCCTAGGACCACAAAAATTACCATCTTCCCTCTCCTAAAAAAGACCTACCAGGCAAAAGTTAGGACAATCAAAGCTAAACATTTAAAATGAATATGGAGGAATGATGGGAGGTTGACCTAGGAGCCAGAAATGCAAAATAGGTGAAGCTCTATGGCCAGCCAAAATAGGCAAGAATAGCACTTCCACCTAAGATCTCTGTCCAACACATTTAATGGTTAAGATTATTAACCTAAAAGGCCGGGGCTTTAGCTCAGTCCTAGAGCTCTTGCCTAGCATTCGTGAGGTCTTGGGTTCAATTCTTAGCACCATTTTATATATATATATATATCTATAAAATTCTCTTCTGAAAACAGTATGCAGAATGTTTCTCCATCAGCCAGGAGGTCATCATGTATCCACTATGCCTATGATTGATTTTGGGAAGCAGCAAAGCTATGTAACAATAACATTTAAAGTACTGAAAATTAGGGCTGGAGATTTAGCTCAGCTGCATAAGCGCCTGCCTGGCAAGTGTGAGGTGGAGAGTTCAATCCCCAGTACCACAAAAAAAAAGTACTGAAAACTGAGATAAATGTCATCAGACTCTGAAAATTTAGAGGCAACAGCTAGACACTATAGGAAGACTGATTTAGGAAACATTGATGTCTCCGGATTAACTGACGGCAGATGGAGAAGCAGAATTCCCAGTTCTGGCTTTCTTCTTCCTTGATGATCACACTCCAGAGGTCACTGCGAATCCGCATTGTCACAGAGAGGAAGTCGGAAGTAGCTGGAGCGACGGAGTCGCCTTGGGGGCAGACCTGCCCTCTGCCGGCACAGCTCATCTGCAGGGGAAGCAGGTATCAGGTTGGGGGGATGATATAGGAGACAAGGGAGGGCTCTCATTGGAAGGGGAAGAAAAGACTACATTGAAGAGAACAAGATCTGGGTAAGACCTCAGCTCTGCCACTTACTAGTCACTTACCACTTACTAGAAAGTTCCTTTCCTTCTATGCACTTCAGCATCCCTTTCCTAAAATAAGCATGAAAATGCCCACCTCCACAGTGTATCTGTGAGTACTGATGTGCGCCAGGTGCCTAGTGCAGGTGGTCAGGGAACGGTAGTTTCCTTTCTACCCAGCTCCCCATTCTGCTAGTCATGGACCTGCTAAGTGGAAAACAGGGTCCAGTCATTCCATGTCCCTTTGGTGTTTACTGTGTGCAAATGGCTAACTTTAGCAAGTCCCTCGAGACACCTGAAAGTGTCTATTGTCCCAAACACTCGTCTTCTGGCCCGAGGTGGTTCCCTAGCAGGTGGCTTGCACAAATCACCAGGGGCCAGCAGCAAGTTTTCTCCAGCGAAGGTGAGTCCAGCTCTTACTCAGTAGCTCAGAACCAAGCAGCTGCTGAGTCAGAAGGGGCTGTGTCTGTGGCCTTGTGCCCGACCGCAGCCCGGCTTCGGGGCTGTCCACCGTGGGGTGAGGTGAGAAATGTTTGTTCCCACCACGCATGGTCTATAACCACACTTAGGACCCTTGTAAAGTGTTCTTACAAAGTCTTTCTACCTCGGCAGTTTCACAGAAAGCAACATACATGCTTCCTGGCATTGGTAAGCTGTTTATAAGGTAGTTGATTTCTAAATGCCCCATCCACAGTGTATGTTTTGTAGACCTTATCCAAACCTTACCATCTCCAAATGCACTGGTAGGGGGAATGTGTGTGTGGGTCCTTTTCCTGGGGGATTTAAAGCAACAGGAGCTTTAGAAAATTGTATAGAAGCACAGGGCTCCATCTCACATGAAAGGCGTCCAGGGTCCAGCAGTTTTGTTAGGGGTATGTGTGCACATGAAACACAATCCTGGCCTTGTTTTAGAGGCTGCTTCCTGCAGCGGCTGATGGGAGTTCGTAAAACCGAAGCGCCTCCAAAACCAGACCTGAGATGCAACAGCGCCATGGCCTTGTTTACCATCCCCGAATCTGTTGTTTCCCTCATACACTCAGACACCATCTCACCTTTCATGGCCTCGTGCTCCTTGCAGACAAGCCGGGAGCAGATCTCATTGTTGATGATGTACGTGCGCCGTACACTGCCGCCATCCCAAAGTCACGGTGAGAAGGAGACAGAAAAAGCCATGAGAGGGAGAACTAGCCTAGGCCTAGGATGTCTCTTCAACTCACGTGTTCCCCACCCATCCCTATCTGATGTCCCTAAGCCTTTCAGACTTCTATCTTCCTTTTCTACGCAGCGGAGGAGACGGAATGTGTTACACACAGTTCTTAGTGACACCTTGCCCATACTGCTTGGTGTCAAGCTGAATGTTCCTTTCTGTTCTTTTCTACTTTTGCGACCAGGATTTTGCCTCAGCCTCTTTCCCTCAGGTATTAAATCAGAATGTCAGTGTTCCCTCCTGACCTTCTCTCCTCCAGCCCCACCTTCACAGCCTGCTAGCATCTATCAGGCAGTTCTGTGTCCCTCACCCAGATTCCAGCTGCTAGCCAGAACCTTGAGGAACCGCTAGCGGGATTATGCTAAAATCTTCTGCCCATCAAAGATTGCAGTTTCAGCCTGGTGTCTACAGTGCTAGGTACTATGGGATGTTGAGACAGGAGAATCATGAGTTTGATTAAAGACTTAAAGACCTGGCAAGACCTTGTCTGAAAATGAAGTGGGTGCTTGGGGATATAGCTCAGTGTGGATTCAATCTTTGGGACCTCAAAATAATAATAGAAATAATAAGTGTAATTCCATGGTGAGCACACACTAAGTGGATACTGACAGGAAAATACTACCCAATAGGGAAGGCCCTCCCAGGTCATTGGCCCTCACCTAGTGAAGCAGACCTCGTGGACACACTGTCTGACTGGCCGGTGCACGGAGTACAGTCTTGTGCAAGCGAATTTTTCATCGGCACTCTGCGGGAGCCCAGCACAAAACACAGGGAGATCAAAATCGGGCAGCAGAAACAGAGGCTTAGAGGCTGGGGGAAAGGAGCTAGAGGGGGAGAAACACCCAGCAGTCACCACAGAGGGCCACACAGCCGGGGGCGTGTGCTCCCCGCTCACCAAAAGCAGCAGAAGAAGAAACTGACTCAGATGAAATTTAGGTGCTTCCCTACCTTCAAGCAGAAGAGCATAAAATAATCTCTATGCGCTCTTCTAGGAAAAAAGGCTTTCTAAGATTATTCAGGTGCAGTCGGAAATATTAAACCGAAAGACTGATGATCTCATTCTGGAGAATGAGCGTTCCTGGCAGGCCTCTCTGTGCTCTTCCAGCTGTTTCCACCCCAGCTGCAGATCAGAATGATCAGTGCGTCTTGTATCTGTATATATAGGGTATATATCTTATACCTGTAATGTTTAGGGTAACATGAGTCTCTGCCATCAAACTGATTTTATTTACAGTCTATTATCCACTTAATAAAGTTCAGAGGTAGGAGAAAAAGAAGGTTTGGGGATCATTCACCATGGTCTCCTCTTTCCCCAGTGACTTTTAGGGCAGGGCTCATCTGAAACAGGCAAATAAACAAGACTGAGGGTGGGGAGGGAAGAGCACTAAAAACGCTCTGTGAGGAAGAATTAGAAATAAGCCAGATGGTGAACAAAGCGCTGTCTAAAGAATCAGGAGGTGGCTGGGGGTTGAGCTCGGCCACTTAAACACTTGCCTGGCAAGTGCAAAGTCCTGAATTTGATCCTTGATACAAAAAAAAAAAAAAAAAGAAAGAATCAGGAGGTAAGGGGTCCACAGAAACAAAGAAAAGCCTAAGCACAAGACATGAAAAAAGTAACCATACCTGCACTGGCATTTTTATCACTGGTCAAAGCTGGAAAGCAAAATTTTATTTAGTTAGTACCAATTATAGAAGTCACCATCTGTAACTGTGAGGTTGTCTCATTTGGGATCCCTTTGGGCTAGTCATGAATAGGGAAGGAATGAGTTAATAACTCTCAACAGAGTCTAAAAACCTCTATGGGGCTGATTGGATCCACATAACTGAAGAGACTGCTGTGTTAGGATGGAATTTTGCCTTTTCCCTGTTTCACAATGAAAAAATTCATTGTGTAAATCTTCGTAGTTTTCATAAGAAAAAAAAAAGCAAAAGTGGAGTGTGGTGCACACACCTGAGGTTCCAGCACCCTGGGAGGCTCAGATGGGAGGACTGCAAGTTCACATCCACCCTGGCCAGGACTTGGTGGCTTAGTGAGACTCTGAATGAAAATAAAGTATGAGAAAAGAAAGAAAGAAAGAAAGAAAGAAAGAAAGAAAGAAAGAAAGAAAGAAAGAAAGAAAGAAAGAAAGAAAGAAAGAAGAAAGGAAAAAAGAAAGGAAGGAAGGAAGGAAGAAAGAAAGAAAGAAAGAAAGAAAGACAGAAAGAGGGAGACGGATTAGGAATATTGCTCAGAGCAAAGGCCCTGGGCTCAATCCCTAATACCAAGAAAAAGAAAAATTTTTTTTTAATTTTAGAGAAAGTGTTTCATGTGTTGCCCAGGGTGACCTCCAACCTGTGGGCACAAGGGATCCTTTTGCCTCAGCCTGCTAAGTAGCTAGGACTACACATGTATGCCACCATGCCCAGCAATAAGCTAATTTAGTAGAAAGACCAAGCAAAGAGCTGCATGCCCCAAAGAGCCTCAGCAGAGCACTCAGCAGAAGACATCATAGAAAGCAGAAGGTCCTCCTTATGAAGAAAACGTCTTCCTGTGGTCCAGATGCATTATCATGGGATGTTGTTTTATTTGGGCTTTGTTTTTTGTTTTGTTTTGTTTTGTATGTGTGAGTGTCTTTTTGAGACAGGGTCTCTCACTATGTAGTTCTGGCTGGCCTTAAACTCACTTTGTAGTCCAAGCTGGTCTCAAACTTGAGGAATCTCCTGCCTCAGCCTCCTGAGTGCTGGGATTACAGGCATGTGCTACCACAGCTTAGCATCATCATGGGATCTTTGCTAAAAGTGTAGGGAGGGGTCATGTCCTTAGCAGAACACGACCTTAGGGGCAAGTTTAATATGGGTTTAGTCCACAGAATGGAGAGCTGGCCAAGGAGTGTATATTACAGAGTCTGGGAAAAAAATGTCAGAAGAGCTCAGAGAGGGGTACCAGGAAGGGCGCTAGGTGATTTCATCTGCCCTGTGACCAAGGCAGGACCGACCATTTTCAAGCCTGTTTCTGGCCCACGCTCTCACACATAAGCTCCAGGGTGATTGATCTCAGTGCCCCTTCTGCAAGTGGCATGATTAAATTGTTTCCGTAGATTCTTTTTTTGTTTGTTTGTTTTGTTTTGTTTGTGGTACTGGGGGACTGAACTCATGATCTTGCATTTGTCAGGCAGGCACTTATGTCGCTGAGCTAAATCCCGGGCTTCAAAGATTCTTCAAATTCATGATGTCACAAACTGATAGCTTTTCCTTCCCCAGTCTGGGCTATTCTTCAGGGAATGGTACGACCAACCACCTGTGGATGGCACCTTGACAGCCCACTCCCCGCTGTGTTGTCGTGCCTTACTCACCTTAGGCTGCTGTCTTTCAGGGGGAAGCTGCATGGCATCCTTGGTGGTTTCCTGGGTTCTAGATTGATCTTTCTCAAATCAGTTTTACAAGCTACCCAAGAGGGTCAGGTTGGGGGGGTGTCCTGCGATTTTTTTTCTGGATACCAATCTGATTTGATACTTCTCTTGCAGAAACGTGTTACATTCTCAGCTTTTTGCTTTTATTTTTAACTTTGTCTCAAATCATTAAGTTGCTCAGACTGCACTTGAATTTGTGATCCTCCTGCCTCAGCCTCCCAGAGTGCTTGGATTACTGTCATAAGCCACCAGGACCAGATTCTAATTGGTCATTATTTCCACCTGGTGCCTTTTGCATAAATTGTTTTCTTTACCTACAAGTTGGTTCCCACTACTCTTGATTCTCTTCTCACCTTCCAGGAAGCAGCTTGGTCTGCAGCAAAGCCTTTTCCACCTCAGCCCTGAGCACTGCCCAGGGCCCCTTCTGTGTCCACAGCTCCCTTTGCTCACCTTTATCTTGCCTGTTGTGGATCTGACACAAGCTGCCTGTACATTCGTCTAGCTCCTCTCTTAGATGAAGATAGCGAATCCAAGAAACTCAGCTTTGTTCATCTTTATGAACCTATTAAGTAGCAGCCTTTCAAAAGCTATTTGTTTAAAAAAAAAATCTGAGTGTAGCTCAGTGGAAAAGTGCTTGCTTATGCAGGGGGTCGTGGGTCCAATCCCCAGTACCACAAAAATAAACACATAAATAGCTCAGCGGAATAAGTGCCTGCCTGGCAAGTGCAAGGTCGTAAATTCAATCCCTGGTACAAAAACAAAAACAAAAATAAACTTTCTTCCTCCTTTCCTTTCTTTCTACCACTGTTCCATGTCCATCGCGATTTAAAAATCTCAGTTCCCCTCTGGTGCCAACTGTATTTTGCTTTTGCATCTTTGAACTCGCTGTTGTTCTCTGAGGCTGAAGGACCCTCACCTCCTTGGCCATCTCCATCTTGCCTTTGCCCACCAAGTCTTGGAAACTGAGAGAAAATTCCCTTCTCAGTGTAGTGCATATTAAACACCTAGCACAGGTCATGTTTGTTTGGGGCCTAAAATGCCATTCATTTAAATGGAGCTGTTGGATGAATGTGCTAGATAACTTGCAATTCTCCCTACTTGGGCTGCTTTGGCAGCTGTGCTGTCTTCTTTAATGGACTCCGGGAAAACCCCAACTGGCCCCAGTGGCCCTGGTATCCCAGATCTGAACTCACCTAGGTCATCTGTGGAAGGCTCGATATCAGCCAGAACTGAAAAGGCACAAAACAGCAGGTGTGAGGAGGGCTTTGGACTGCAAGGGGGAAGGGAGGGGAGGACAAGCAAGAGTGGAGATGCAGGGCAAGGGCAAGGCCACGGCAGCATCTATGGGCCATGTCCAAGGGGATCGAATTCACTGACACTAGCTGCAAGGTGTTTTGAGGAACACTGGCCCTGCTGATGTTAAACTAAGTTCTGGAAGCCTTTATTACCCATGCCTTATTTTAGCTACGAATTCACTTTGTTACATTGAGAGCGCCGGGATGTCTCTTTCCTCCTATTCCACTGTCACTGAACAACATTCCCGCAGTCCCTTTGTGCCATACTAAGATCACAGAATTAATTCAAGACCCAGAATAAACTCTATGACTATTAACAAGATCGAGTCATTTTTTTAAGGGACTCCCATAAAACTTGCCTGTTTCATCTGTAGACGGATCATTCACCAGATCTGCAAAGACACAAAACAAGAAATGAAAACTGTAGGTCGGAAAAGCAGCTAACAGAAGAGGACAATGGGATGATTATCTAAAAGGAGACAAGAAGGATAGAAACTGCTTCATGCAGATGACTGGGAAGAAATGGGAGAGGCAGTAAGAGACGTGTTCACAGCACCGGTGGCCTCTAAGGTGGACAGGAGCTCACAGTGCCCACCAAGGTCTCGCAGTCTTGTGCTCACTTCTGCAGCGCATATACTAACATTAGAACAAAGTTCTTGCAGTCTTTATTTTCCTTTGGGAGAACACCACCCCCAACCCTTCTGTTTCCACCATGACAGCAAATAAACAAAGAGGCAGCTTACTAGGATCATCTGTGAATGTTTCTTCAGTCACGTCATCTGAAAAGAAATCAGAAAGCATTCTCTGAGAATTCTCTGGTCCCTCCACCCTTGTACCCCTCAAAGGGGAAATGTGAGATCCCACACCTGTTTTTCCTTGCCTGTCTGCAATAATTACAATGGGCCAATGTTCTCTAGATGATACTTGCATAAAATTAAAATTGCTTATTCCAAATACCCTGAATTTTATATATAAGGTGCTAAGAATGGGACCTAGGACCTTACACATATTCACTAAGCACTTGTTCTGCCACTGACCTACATCCTCAGCCCACTATTGTCACAGTAAAAACAACATAATAACTCAACGTTAGTCAGACAAGGTGGTGCACACCTGTAATCAGGAAGCTGAGGAAGAAGGGATGCCATTAGGTCGAGACCAGCCTGGGCTTCATAATGAATTCAAGGTCAGCTTGAACCATATTTGAGACCCTCATCTCAAAAAACAACAAAGCAGCATTAATACCTCATTTTTACATTTATTTTAAATTTTAATTGTGCACATACGTGTGTCAGTATGGAGTACTGGAAATCAAACCTGGATCACTGAGCATGCTAGGCAAATTCTTTACCACTCAGCTACACCCTCAGCCTATTCAGTGTATTTTAAAATGTATGTATTTTGTTAAGGTGTACAACATGTTTTGATATTGACACACAAAATGACATGATTACTACAATCAAACAATCAAATTAATACATCCATCTCATCGTATGTTATGTGTGTGTGTATGTGTGTGTGTTTGTGTGTGTAAGAGAGAAGATGCACACCTAAAACACCTCAATCTATCTTGTCCAACTGAAAGAGTTTTGGCCCAGACAGGACATTGTAGCCGGTAAAGCCAAGGAGCTCCTATCTCCCCCTCCCCTAGGAATTTACCTATGGTGCCAAACAAAAACCAATGGGCTACCTGTGCATCCCTAATGCCCCCTTAGGTTCCACCCCAAACTGAGGATACTTATGTGCTTCACTCCACGTGTTCCACGGAGAGATCCCGGACCGGGGTGGATATGCCATGCCCCAGGGAGTCGGAGGTGTCTCTCCCCGCATTCTCAAAATAAAGGTCATTTATATTTCATACTTCTTATCTTTTCAGCCGCCGCCGGTCCCCCACAGCTCTATAACAAACAACGTTTAATTTTTGTTTTGTTTCTGTTGAGAGGTCTCACTGCATAGCTCAGGCTGGCCTTAGACTTGGGGTTGTCGTCCTGCCTCAGCCTCTCCAGTGCTGAGATTACAGACCAGCACCTGAACCCCTGCGTTAAACACTATATTTAGCAAATACTCATTTTGCAACTAATCTTCAAGTTAGTGTAGTTTATAGTCATAATCCATTTTGTCCACTAGGGGTCAGAAAATCCACAGTTTGCTTTAACTGTCCGACGTCTAAAATTAAATTTAAGTTTTTTAAAAAATTTTATTTATTTTTGTGCCGAGAATCGAACTCACGACTTACCAGACAGGCACTTGAACCACTGAGCTAAACCCTGGCTAACCTCAGATTTAAGGCTATTGAGAATAAACATTTTTATAAAGGCGTGTCAGTTATGGGTAATTGCCCGAGAGGTGCAAGTAAAGCATTCCACAGTGTCCTCTGCTTGTCTCGTCTTTTTGTATTTTTCCCCTCCCTAAATTCCAGATGGAATAGATAGGTACTTTTTCTTCTTTTTTGGTGCTGAGGGTGGAACCCGGGGTCTGGCACGCGTTGCACATCTGGTCTGATCAAGCACTAACTGCTCTGCCACTGACCCTGTCTTGAACACTCAGGATCCTTCCAGAACAGCTTTTGCTAAGAGCAATCCACATCCGTTCCAATCCTGTTGTAGGATATTTGAAAAATCACTGACCCGCATCGTTCTGGGGACTAAAAGTGGTGAAGCCCCAGGAAGACCTCGACCCCTCCCAGTTCCTTTCGTTCTGGAGGCGTCGCGGGTCCAATCCAGCGACCACGCAGGGACACAGCGCTGCAGAGCTGCGGGGGAAGTGCGTCCCGCCTGGACATCGGCGCGGAGCACCGGCTTTGTGCACGCTCTCAGATAAACCAGGGCCTTCCCCCCCTCCCCCAGCTCCCACCAGGAGAGGAGTTAGAGGTCTCGGTAAAGGAAACTTGAACCATTTTCATCATAAGCTAAACTGTTTCTGCTGGAAAAGCCTCCTAAACTCATAAAACAGGACTGGTCTTTTTAGCCCACCTGGAGAAATCAGTTCAGATTTTTAGTTTTGCTTGTGGTGAAATCTTTTATCTAGGTTCACAAAGTCAAGGTTTTTTAACCAGCAACAGAAAAAACCGATTTTATTTCTACATTTTTATCCTTTTGGGTTTATTCAGGACTTCAGGACCTTCACACTGAGCCACCTCCCTTTCTATTTTTTAAAACAGAGTCTAAGTCACTAAATTGCTCATGCTGGGCTTGAATTTGTGATCCTCCTGCCTTAGCTTCCCAGATTGCTGGGATTACAGGCAGAGGCCACCATATTGGGCTCGTGTTTATCTTCTGTAGCACACTTGCAGCAATAAATACATATTACATTGGGTCCACTGGACACAGTGACACACGCTTGTAATCCCAGTACTTGGGAGGCTGAGGCAGGAACAACACCACAAATTCAAGGCCAGCATAGGCTTCATAGTGAGTTCAAGGTCAGCTTGAACTGTATAGCTAGAATGTCTTAATAATAATTGGGCCCCACATGCAAATGCATGAAATTGCAACAAATTTTATAAAAATAATACTTTGCTTTTGTCCAACACATACAACACATTCTGATATATGTTTTAGTTGTGTTTTCATTTTAAAAAATCCTGACCCACTAAATGCTTTTGTCACCCACTAAATGCTTTTGTCACCCATTAGCGAGTTCCATACTGCTGTGCTGAGTCCTCTAATTCCTGAAGCCTGGGAGAAGTAAAGAGACAAAGTAGGATTATGTAGAAAGCCTTCAGGCAGGGTGGGGTTTCCTTCTTTGGAAGGGAAAGGTCTCTCCGGAGCTGAAACAACCAGTTCTGTCCAGTTGTGCACAAATTCACTGTAGTACCAAGATGACTGTTTACTGTCTCTGCGTTTTACTTTTTCCACTGTTACACGGATAGAACAGTACTTCCTGAGACCTAGAAGTGCAGTTCAGTGATCACCCAGCATAAATAAATAAATGAATGAATGAATAAAGTTTCCCACCCCCAGTACTGGAGATCAAATCCAGCATCTTTACAATTCCCATGTGTTTTCGAGGTATTGTTACAGGTAGCCGAGCTACTTAAAAATATAGGGAGTCATCAGGGCTAGGCCCTCCAAGAAGCCGGCACCGAGGACCAGATGTTTGATGACTTTGAATGAGACACACACCTCTTGCTGTGGGCCAGATCTCAAAACAACGAAACCACACCCTTAAGTACAATCCTTAGAGGTTAAATCTGGAGAAACGGAGAGTCACCATCCCAATCCTCTATAGGAAGAATCACTGATCCATAAAGAATGCTCGATTTCTATGTGACTGGCTTCCCCATTTGTACCTAATTTGGTCAATTTTACCTAAGCAGTTAATCTTATTGGTTGACCACAGTTCTGTCCCACTTTATGCCCACCTTGCAAATTCCCATTTTTCCCACCTTTGAGCCAGCTCATCTCATGATTTTGCTCTATCAAAGTCCCTGGACCCTATTGTCTGGTTTTGAAGACCTAAAATGCCTTCATCATCCTGCTCTGATCAGTTTTATACTATTTTGTTTTGTATGAATTCATTGGTGAAGATATGGAAAACTATTTAGAAGAAAACAGGAGACAATATGATAGTGAAGATCTCTTTTGTCTTGCTTTGAAATCAGTCTCTTAGATTGTTTTCTTCTGATCTATTTTGTTTTGTTATGTTATGTTTAATTTTACCCTCTTTAAAATAAAAATTTTTTTAAAAAGTCCTTGGGAAAGACAGAATCTTTGGCAAGCCACTTAGAACCCCTTCTGTCTCTCTCTCAGACAAAAACTTTCTTTTTCTCAATAAATATTTCTGCTCTTAACCTCCATTATTTCTAAAATTCATTCTTCGATTTTAGAGAACATGAACTTGTACTGGACATGCAGTAGGTCGAGAGTTTCATTCCCCTATATCAATATGACCTTGCTAAGTCGATACATTGCTCAGTCTTGACTGAAATTTGCAATCCTCCTTGTTTGGCCTCTTAAGAGTGCTGGGACTATAGATGAGAGCCAGCACACCTGGCACACCAAATGTTTTTTTTAAAAAGCACTGGGATGTCACTCAGTGACAGAGCCCTTGCCTAGCATGTGTGAGGCCCTGGGTTTCATCCCCAGACAAGACAGGGTTTTACCAATGGGACAACAGGATTGTGGAAACTGCTGAAGTCGATCCTGTTTCTCCTGCCTTGACCATGTAGGTCTCTATCCCAGCACATACATTTTGTATAGTTCATCTACTGTCCTGATAAGAATCCCAACACAGCCCATAGCCAAGGCTTCACCCACCTCCTCGCTGACCACTGACGCCCGGGGGTGTCCAGCCTGCAGCAAAGGAAGAAAGTGGGTGTGAGTGACCAGAGCTCCATACCCAGAGAGACCCTGTGATGAGAGGAGCCAGACCGTGAAGGAGAACTGGCTGCACGTTACCATTGTCTTGACTGCCTTGAGCTCAAAGTTACTGTGCTCATACCGCTGGCGGTGTGTGCAAGGTAACTGAAGGACACGTTCCTGAGAGCAGCACTGGACTCTGTGGGGTCCTCACCAGGACGCCCCCTCTCCCCCACAGAGGGGTGCATCCACCCCCCAGCTTGGCCCAGCCTCCAGACCCCCCCAGCTTTCCTATAGCTCCTGGACTGAACAAGGTAAACAAACTGCTTTTCAGTCTCCACAGGGCAAAAGGAGGAAAAATCAGCAGGATTTCTTCAAAGTCCAAGTTAATCCCAGTGGCCAGACTCCAAGCCAGACACTGTGAAATCCGTTAAGTTTTTCCTTTTGTGGGCGGGGCGTGTACCCCTGGTGTGTAGGTGAAAACACCTGTAGTGTTTTCTCGGGGCACATGTTCCCACTGCTTTCCTGCAGGATTCAAATCTGGCCCAGGCTCCTATCAGGTGGTCTTTCCATGTGCAGGCACCTTTGTGCGCCAGCTCCTCTTCCCCAAACGTGTCCCTGGGAGTCCTCATGTGTCTCAGCTTCCTCTCAGGGTCACAACCTTCAGGATCGTTGGTCCCAAATCAAGGGTGATCGGTAGTCACGGTGCTGCACGGCTCCTGGGACGCCAAACCTGTTCTTTACTTCTCTTTAGCACTGTTCTAGCATTCAGTACCAATCCTATTTCTCCTCATCCCCAACCTCTGTCCCTCCACCTTTCTTAAACACAGCTCCCCACGCATGTGACCAAGGAGTCCACGGACTGAGGCAAAGTGGATACATGGGAGGACTTACCAGAGGGGACGAGGAGTGCTGTGAGAAGCAGCAGCGCCTTGGGCCTCGAGACCAGCATCTAAGGGAGATGGCAGAGGGCAGAGTGTGACCCCAGGGGTGCAGGAGTCCCACCCAGGGAGCCCCATCTGTCTCTGTCCTCTGTCCCAGGAGCCTTTGTGGTTTCTTTTAAAGACTCAAACCCTGTGTCTTTTTTATATTTCATTCAACATTTATTTCTTCCTCAGTTCTGTTTTTTTGTCACTTTCCTTTATTGTCACTCTTTACTACTGAATTAGAGGATTTTGTTTTTTGAGACAGAGTCTCACTGTATTTCTCAGGTTTGTCTCCTTATAGGAGCCTGGGTGCAAGCAATCCTCCTGCCTCAGCCTCCTGAGTAGCTGAGATTACAGGAAGTATCATCATCATACCTGCATTCAGAAAGACGTTCATATTCTAAACAGTTCCTTCTTGGCCCTACCTGATGGCCTCTTCCTCCTTAATGTCTGATCTTTCTTTCATGTATCAGTGTCTTTTTCACAGTGTCTACTTCATCTTGCCGTCTCTGTCATTTGAATTCCATGGGTGATCAGGGCAGGGGTCTGCTCTGTTCTGATCTGAGGCAAAATACACACGCACACACACACACACACACACACACACACACACACACACATGCTCTCACTCTGGGGTGTTAATCAGGACTCACCCTCTCCGCACTGTGTTGTTTGCTGAGTCCTGTGCTGCTGCTGACCGAGTGGAGTCCTCTGCACTCTGCTGCACTTGGGCTTGGACTGTGATGAGCGGAGCCCCGCCCTGGGCAGGATTTGGATTTGGCCTACTCTGCAGCAGTGAGATGGGAGAGGGAGCCAGGCTGGACGCACAGAAGGCAGAGTCACTGCGGGGCCCACGGAAGGAGTGGAATGCAGAGCCACAGTGGAATGTGCCTTTCCTTCCAGCCTCTTCCCGTGCTCATCAGCCCCGCTGACCCTTCCACCACCCTACCACCCCTAGGTTTCTTCTGAACTAAGTGGTCTGTGGCATCAGTTGGTTTCTGACTTTCTCCTCCTACCCTTTTTTTTTTGCAAGACAGGGTCTTACTATGGAGCTCAGGTTGGCCTCAAACTCACAGTGATCCTCCTGCCTTAGCCTTGTGAGTGCTGGGATTACAGGCATTTGCCACCATTCCTAAGCACTCTCCGGGTTTTTTTTCTTTGTTTATTTATTTTGGAGACTGTGTCTTGCTTGGCATCCCAGGCGGACCTGGAACTTGTGGTGATCCTTCTGCCTCAGCCTCTCAGGTTCTGAGATCAGAGGAGTATACCACCTTGCCTGGCTCCTTCTTTCATATCTGAATCATTCCTCTAGTCCCCTTTCTCAATCTCTTTCTTTCTTCTCCCCACCTTTTTCTTTTATTTTCTTTTGGCACTGGGATTAAACATAGAGCCTTTGCAATGAATGGCAACCCCAGCTCTTTATTAATTTTTTTTTGTCTTTTTCATTTTTATCGGTACCAGCGATTGAATTCATGACTGCCTGCTTACAAGGCAGGCACTTAAGCCACTGAGCTAAATCCCCAGCCCCTCTTTATTAATTTTTGAGACAGGCTCTCACTAAGTCTAAACTGCCCAGACTGGGCTCAGATTTGCAATCTTCTTGCCTCACGTTCCCAGAATTCTGGTATTGCAGAGATGTGCCATCACACCTGGAAGTCTTTCTTTCTTTCTTTCTTTCTGGTCAGGGTCTAACTACATAATTCAGGCTGACCATAAATTAACCCTTTGTAGCCCAGACTGGCCTTGAACCTGTAGTGATCCTCTTGCCTCAGCCTCCCAAGTGCTGGGATTATAGACATGCACCACCACACCTGACTTTTTATTTGTTTGTTTTTTGAGTCAGGGTCTCACTATGCAGTTCTAGCTTGCCTTGACTTCACTATGTAGCCCATGCTGGTCTCAGTCGCTCAGTGATCTTCTTGCTTCAACCTCTTAAATGCTAGCATTGTGGGCATATGTCACCATATCTGGCTGTTCGTTTTTTAACACCAAAAAATTCATGTTCCTTTACTTCTTTTCATTTTCTCTTTTTACTGTGCTAGATAGAAGCTAGAGTCTCATACATGTTAGGAAAGCATTCTACCCGTGAGATACATTCCCAGCTCCTGCCTCCTGACCACACACCCAGAGTCTAGATTTTACCCACAGGAATATTCTCTGTATTTTCACATCCAAGCAAACAGATACCACGTGTGGTTCATCCTAGAGAAAGGCTGGCTGTCTTTGGGTTTTAAAAAGTTGAGGCAGTCAGATCTCTCAAATGTGGAGCCCCTCCAAGACATGCCAGCTTTACTTTGTCTTTGGCTTTATTTAGGCTATGACTATGGTCAGGCTGTTTTTGCTATGCATCTTAGAGTCTGGAATCTGAAAGTCAAAATTTCATAAGAAGCCCAAAGACAACCGGGAGACCAGTTCATTCTGCTTGCCTCCCTGTCTATCAGTATTTTTCCTCATGTAATGTATAGGTAACACTCTCTGATCCTGGAATTTCCAAGTCTTTGTATTTGCTCCACTTCCTGAAGGGCGGTCAGACCATCAGAGCTGGTTTGCAGGAAATGAACTTGAATTTGAAGCTCAGGTCTGAGGAGTGTTTAGCAGACGTGTGTGCTTTCCAAGTCACCTGCCAGCACGTGTGTCTACATCGTGAACCTCCCGGTTGAGGTAGATTAGGGAAGAGTGCAGGGAGCAGAGAGCTGCTGGTATTAACACATCGCTACCGGAAGCAAGAAAGAGACAGCAGTGGAGAGAAGGGAAGAAAGAAGAAAGGAAGGGTTAGTGTGGAGAAAAGGACAGCAATGGACATGGACATAACGAATGCCCACGCTCGTCGGAGCCAGGCTGAAGTGTCCCATCTTGGGGAGCTGGGTTCTGGTCCAGCCCCAGAATCAGTCTGAGGGCAGATCCCTCGCTGCCTGCTGAGCCGCCAGGCCTTCCTCTCTGCTCCACAGGGCAGGGGCAGAGCTGGGGAAACAGATGTGATTCAAGCCCGGGAAAGCCAGGGCAAGAGAAGCCTGGGGCAAGAAGTGAGGGAGAAACAAACAAACAAACAAAGGAAAGGCAGATGCAAAGCAGAGCTAGGCGGGACCTAGAATGGAGCCAAGCTCATGTTTTCCATGAGTCTTAGACAGCTGGGGAAAATGAACTTGGGCCAGTCTTTTGGCAGAGACAGCAATGACCTCAATGCGCTGGCCCGGCTGGGTCTGCGGGGTAGGAGGGGGCGCCCTCCCGGGGTCGGGGAGGAGCCGCAGGCCAGGACCTGGGAACAGCCCTGTCCGGGAAAGGCCGGCCCTGGGCAGACGCACGGGGGGCCGCGAGAGGGAGCAGGGCCGGCGTCCACTCTGGCGGGCTGTGCGGACTTTGGGAGAGCGGGTTTGTTTCCTGGTAGTTGGGGTGACTTTTTGATGGCACCCGCTGCGGCCCTTGTCTGCTAGCTCAGCTCCCCGCTTGTTTGCAGGTTCATTTTTCTCAGGGTGATTTGGTCGGCTCTGTTCTGGCACAGTATTTATCATTTAGTTGAATCAAGTCAAAATTAGCTGCAATGCCCAGAAATGAGCGAATGCTATCTAGAGCCGCGAGCCTGTTTCTGAGGTTTCCGTGAATGAGACAGTGCCAAAGCACTGACTAGGGGATCAATTCATAAGCTACGTTTCAGTTACCCAGGATGTGAGGTTTTAGAAAAGTTCTGTGAAAGTGTGTGAAAATCGTAATTGAGCCTCCCCAGTTCATTGTCATAACCAGCCAGAAATTTAATAATAAAAAAATCAGTAAAGATACAAGAAATGGTTAAGCAGATTAGAAAGAAATGTTCTGTGGCAAAGGAGTCCAATGCAAAGAGAGGCTGAAATGGGAGACAGCAAACTGGCTTTCTACATCTGTTTTTTTTCCCTGTAAAGAATACACCCATTAGTTGAAAGCCTCCGGGCAAACGTACAGACATTTGACTATGGTCTGATCCAACTAAATTAAATTCAGGGGCTAAACACAAAAATTCCCATAAAAGGAAGGAAAAGATGGAGGGTTCAATGGGGCGGGAAGGGAGGGAGTGGCGCCTGCCAAGCCTGGAAGCCATGAAACAGTTAAGACCAAAGGCAAAAGGACCTAGATGCCCACAGATGTTTGTCCTAAGGACATTTGAGTCGGGAAAACTTTGACCACTGGGGGTCCAATTTTGATGTTGTCTCCTCGCCAAAACCTCTCCTGAGCCCCCCTTCTTTTGAAGAATTCCCTGTCCTGAAATGACTTGTTTATTTTATAGTATTGTCATCATCTTTATTCATTGGTTATGGGGTTTATCTCATTCTGTATTAGTCTGTGAATTCCCTGGTGATGGAGGCTGAGTCTTACTCAGTCCTCAATGACCTAATGGTGAGCACACAAGAACTCAAAAAGTATGCTCAACTGAATTGAAATGCAGACTTAGAACAATACCTTTCTTTTTTGGGAGGGGGGGTACCAAGAATCAAACTTATGACCTCACACTTGCCAGGTGCTGTGCTACTGAGCTATATCACCGGCTACCTTCTCGTTTCTGACATATAAACTTTCAAAAATTTAGTCAAATGGAAATGATAAAAGATAAAGTTTTAGGGAAGCGATTTGAGAGGCTGAAGCGAGAAATTGGGCCAACTCAAAGCAGAGGTTTTGGAGAACGGCTATGCTAAAAGTTGGGGATTTGGGCAAGATCATCACATGAAAAATAGAATTTATATCTGCAATATTACTGCTTCTGCCTCAGTATTTTCTTTGTGTAAATTTTCTGATGGCACTGATTTTCTGATGAAACTAACAAACTTTCTTGTTAGTGCAAATCTAAAATGTTTGATCTAGATTCAGGATTACACTGAGGTTCCTGAAATAGAATCTTCAACAACAAAAAAATCTAAATAGCTTTGATAAATTGGTTAAAAACAAGACAAAGAGCTCGGTATATACATGTACATTTGCAATTCCAACATTCAGGAAGCAGATACAGGAAGATTACTGTGAGATAAAGACCAGCTTGGGCTACATAGACTGTCTCAAAAATAGAGCAAAGGGGCTGGGGATTTAGCTCAGTGGCATAAGCGCCTGCCTTGCAAGCAGACAGTCATGAGTTCGATCCCCGGTACCGATAAAAAAGAAACACACACACACACACACACACACACACAAAACAGAACAAAACAAAAAGACTCTTGTGCTGGATATGATGGCACATGCAATCCCAGCTACATAGGAGGCTGAGACAAGAGGATCACAAGTTTGAGGTAAGCCTGGGCAACTTGGTAAGACCCTGTCTTAAAAGTAAAAATAAATAGAAAGGGCCGGGTTACAGCTCAGTGAAACAGAACCTCTCAATTCAATCCTCAGTACTCTCTGGCCTGCTGGCTTGTTGGCACCAAGGGAAGTCAGCGGCAGTGCTGCACTCTAAGTCTTGGCCCTGGTGGCCAAAACTGATGCCTCAGCCAGGAGCCCAGAGATCAGGCTTGCCCAGGCTCCTGTAGTGAGCTTGGTAAGTGGTTGCCCTGCCCATCAGGCTTGATGACATTGGAAGCCCTCCTGACTTGCAGGTCCACACCCAGGCTGTACAGGGGTTCCTAACCCTCAAAAATGGGGAACGAATAAATGCTTGTGGTTCTAAGCTGCTAACATTTGTGGTAAATAGGTAACTATGTTGTACGACCATAACATAATCTCATTTTCTTTGAGTCAGGTCCTACTTTGCTGCCCATAACAGACTCAAACTCCTGAACTCAAGAAATCTTCCAGGTAGCTGAGACTGTTGGTGGGCCCCACTGTACGTGGTTATGATTATTTTATCTATTATATAGAAATTCTATTTATGTATTTATAGCTCATCATAATTGCATGCTCTGGTATCAATAAAAAGATATTAACAAACTGTGTACAGTGGTTCAACCTCAGTCACAGC